TATGTCGTGTCACCTTCTTTTCTGTTGGACACCGTAAACAATGCAACCTCTTGTCTTGTCTTCTTTTTATCAGTTACAGCAAAGGTACATATTGTTGAGGCGAGATATTATTTCGTTCTCTTCGCGGGAAGAAGAAGTTCCGGATACGGGATGGGAGCAAACTCCGAGTGCATGTTGACAAAGGTCAAAATGTTTCCTTGCGTAGGAACTCGTTGCTTGGTTGCGATCCATGTACACACGCATCAATTTTTCGGGAAGACGTTGAATTATACTCTTTTTTGTCGTGCGGGTCGGTCGGGCGACGCTTGCTGTTTCGGTTTCGAAGGACGGGTCGCGAGAGAACACCGGAGAGGACGATGCGGACGTTTTCGATTTCTTGACGCAGCTCTTCGGCTTCCAGCAGGACAGCGTTCGGAACCAGAGGTGAGGCGAGCTCGCGGACGAAAAAAAAAAGATGGCCTCCTGAGTTCATCGTCATAATAGACGATCGGGAGGGGGGAGAAACTGGGGCGGCGTGCGGAACCAGAGGTGTGGCGAGCGGACGGAAAAAAAAAACTTGGCCTCCTTAGTGTATCGCAGAAATAGACTATCAGGAGGGGGGAGAAGCTGGGGCAGCGCGCGGAACGAGAGGTGTGGCGAGCGGAGGAATAAGAAATCAACGGGTGGCCTCCTCAGGGCATCGTGAATGGGAGGGGGGAGTCGAACGAAGCGAGAGAGCTTAGGCCTTTGTTGTGAATTGAGACAAGGGGGAGAGGGGGAGACTGAAAGCACGGGTCGGAGAGGTGGAAAACGAAGGAGGGAAGGGAAGTAGGAGGGGGTGAACTTGAGAGAAGATCAAGGCCTCTTGGTGGAGCGAAGAGAGAGGGCGTCGTCGTGAGAAGGCTTCTGTCGCCAGCGCGCTGGCCGAGGGGTTCAGCGGACGAGAAAACGAAGAGGGGGAGGGGAGGGGGGAGGAAGGAAGAGAAAGATCCGAAGTCGATTGTGAGTATCGTCAGGAACGAGGAAGAAGCAAGGATAAAAGGGATGTCTAGTCCGAAAACCCGGGGCATTGTTACACTGTATTCTAAACGATCCACCGTCTAGGACCCCGTGGAGTGCCGAGGGCAAACGAGAGACGGGGTGTCACAGACGTAGAGAACGAGGCGTAGAGAAAAGAGAGTGGAACCGACACCGGGAGATGTAAAGGGTGACTGTTGTTGCTGAGTTATCTGTCGCGGGATACGAGCGGTATCCATCCACTGCAGAAACGAAAGAAAATTACGTCAAGTGCGGTGCGAGGTGATGGCCTCTTGCGGTTGCAGGGCGCCTTGACCATGGCCATCTGTGTAGCATAGTCTTTCTTGCTCGGCGAGAAGTGTGAACCCCAAATTTGCCATGCATTTCTGTCTCCGAATGACTGAAAAACGTGTGTTCTCCACGTCTACAGAACTAGACAAGCACCAACCTTCATGTATGAAACCAAGAACCGTGTGAATTCCAACTGTTTCGCACGTGTGTGAAAACGAACTGAAATGGGATGGGGCGCGCTGGGACGGGACGGAACGATAGGGACAACGCCATCACGCTGCTAGCGAGCCGGCTATCGCGGAGCGTTAACCACGCAGGGTCGGACTTGCACTCGCTCACGCCGGATAAGGTGGCGTATGTCTTGGCGACTTGGAGGAAGGAGCAGCTGGCGAACTACAAGAAATGGTGAGTGTGGTGATGTGGTGTGGTGGTGATCGTAGTGGTGATGGTGGTAGGGGTGGCGCACAGGAATCGATAGTTCGTCTCAGGCGTGGGGTGCCTAAATTTGTTGCCATGGACATTTATCGAGATAGAGTTTGCGACGTTCCATTCCGACCTTTTTCAATCAGCGTGCGTTCGGCTGTGTGGACAATGCTGCGCACGAAACGGTGCATGTTTTTCGCCGTGGGCGAGAACAGTCCCTCCCCACCCCCCCATATATATTTTCGAGAAATACCCACACTCCGGGGGGGGGTTGGGGGGCACGCTGATGCGAGGTTCCGGCAGTGGCATCGAGAGTGAAGAACCCCGGTATCTCGAGAAAAATTCACAATGGTGCGACCTCCTGAAGGCGGTGGTTGTTCAACCCCAACCACATAGTTGTTGCGGTAGACGGCGTTGCTCTCTGCCGCTCCTTCACCGTAGCAAACACTTCTGCCTGCGGTGGTGCTGTGTCGGTGGTGCTGGCAATCCCTTCTCAACCCCGCAAACCTCCCGGATGCTTTGCCGCCGGTGGTGGTGGGGGCGGCGGCGATGCTGCTGTACCGTGCAGGTGCAAGCATATCTGGAGCTGGCAGATCAAGCTCAAGAAGGTCCTGCCGGACGACCAGCGACTCGCGTGCGCTTTCGAGGTGAGGCATGCGACAAGGCGGAAGACCGACCTCGCCACCGATCGAGCCGCAAGAATCGAAACACTCTCTGATCACACCAACTAGGGATATTTTTCGTCGACGCGTCAGCAGCAGCATCCCGGAACTTCCAGCAGCGGCGTTTCTACCCTCAATATGTAACGTCATCCATCTGCCGGAATGTCTCTTTCGCACAGCCTCGCGATGTTGTTTAGTACGCGCTATTCACCCCGGTGGTGGCGTTCTCTCGACAAATACCCCTACAGCAGCACCACTGTGCGGCGAAATAAGCCTTGGTTCGTTTTGCTCTGTGGTTGTTGTTGATGATGAATGATGATGGTGACGATGTTAGGTAGTACAAACGCCTTTGTCGTCTACACATCCAGAGCCTCCCTTTCCGTGCTTGCCACCACAATCGGTGTCCTGTAGGAGACAAAAATCAATTTTCGTGTACACTACGACCGCATACAAGAACGTGGAAGAACTCCCTCTTTCGTTGTTTTCTGTATCTTGATGTTTGCCAACGACCGGCTTCAGATCGCGCTGAACCTGCTGCTGTGGGGAGAAGCGGCCAACCTCAGGCTTTGCCCGGAATTCTTGTGCTGGGCGTACCACAAGAGCGCCAAACGCTTGAGGGATGCCATCGGGGACAGGGCTCCGGAGCAGTTCATCAGGTACGATCTTATTGGCTAGCTGAATTCCGTCATAATGCCTGTTCTGCCCACATGCCTCGCGCTCCACTGTATGTAGCACAGAGTTCTCCCGTATGGTTGAGGGTTAGATTCTTTGGCGGATTTGGTGGGGTATTTGGCATACAGTGTGATCGCTGCGGTAGAACAGCACGTGCAAACAGAAAAATATACACACAGACACACACACACGTGCGCCTTTCCATTGCTCAGCCGGTTAGCGCGGTCGATGCTGATAACAAAAATATACATTTGCGCGCGCGTACACACACGCCCCTGTTGCCTTTGCTGGCACTTACCTGCGATAGGTGACAACGTTGACAAGAAATCTAGAATCGCTGTCAAGGTTAAAACGTTTGCCCCAACCTGAAAATGCATGGTAAACGCCCCGGCCGTCGTGTGCTGGGGTCGATGGTGCCGGCAGGAGCGCGGCAGTGTAAAATAACGGAGATTCCTGATTGCGAACATGCCACACAAACCTGAGAGAACTCTTCTATGGAGCGGTAGCCCAATGGTAGAGGGGCATGTGCAGGCGGGCTGCTGCAGTTTGTCTGCCTCTGCAGGCACGCAGCCTACGACAGACTCTTACAGCGGCAGTTAGGCAGCACTAGGGAATCGGCTCCGCAGGGTATCCGGTAACTTTCGGTCGGCGTGATCACTGGTATGGGGTGACTTTGGAATTCAAACGTCGAGTCTGGTTCACGCGTCCGTATGCACCCTATGGTGCTCTTTGTGACTTGACTCTTCTTACCCCTCTCTCTTAACTGCCCTGTGCACGCCGCGCCTGCAAGGCCCTCCCTCAAGGCAGGAGGGATCCACACATAGCAGACATCCCCCCTCCCCACTTAAGTTTTTCAATCCAACACGGGTTTTCCCGCACAAGCGGCGGCAGGCCCTACCTCAAGGGAAGAGGCACCCGCACATAGCGTGCATTACCCACCCCATTTTACAATCCAACCCGGGTTTTCCCGCACGCGCGGCGGCAGGTCCTACGTCAGGAGAGCGGAGATCCGCTCAAGGTAGACGACATACTCCCCGCCCCATGAAACGTTTAAAACGCCAACTCGGTTTTCTTTCCCGCACACGCGCGGCGGCAGGTCCTACCTCAAGGAAGTGATCCAGCCTTGCTACCTGACGCTGGCGGAGCAGTACGAGGACCGCAAGGCCGGGTCTCGGCCGTACCTGGTGAAGAACTACGACGACTTTAACGAGACGTTCTGGCAGAGGAGCTGCCTGGGCCTGGACGTGGTGGGGCTGACGCAAGACGCCGTGAGGAGGAAGTTTACCAAGACGTTCGTCGAGAGGCAGTCGTGGTTGGTGCCGATGGTGAGCCAAACGGGGCACAGGGGGGGGGGGGGTGCTCGTGTCTTGCATGCCTTCGCGGGTGGACCTCGCGTCCTCGACAGGACGGACGGGAACTCATCTTTGCGCATGCCGTAGTTGGTAGACCGTTTCTTGTATGTGACGATGTCGAGGGCAGGGGGGGGTGAGCGGAGCAGTCCGCGGACTGCTGCCGATGTGGGTCAAATGGGGATTTTCGTGTTTGGAGTGTTCAAGTTCGGTGATTGTTTCGGCGTCAGTGTGTTTTTGGCCTAGCCGACGTCTGGAACCGGGCCGAACGCTCGTGATCATGCCACACGAGTGGGCTTGTGGAGGATCCAGAGGCACAGCTGCCCCGTCTGCTCGTGTTGTTTTCTTGCCCATAACTATTGTCAATCCCCACACCTCCTGCTGACGAGCTGAGGTGTAGTGCCTCACTCTTGAGGTCAGGTCTCGTCCTGCTCTTGAGGCAGCCTCTCTGCACGGGGAACAGCAACGACAAAGCGATAACACCAACAGCGACAGCGACAAGCAACTAATCGCTCTTGAGGCAGCCTCTCTGCAGGGGAAACGGAAACGACAATCGATAACAACAACAGCGACAGCGACAGCGACAAACAACACCTATCCTAGCCCTAACCATATGACCTTATCCGTTACCCTAGCCTAAACCCCAACCTTATTAACAAAACACACTGACCACAATACGAACAACAGGTAAGCTTCTGGAGGGTCCAGATGATGCTGTTCTGAGGCCTACACCTCCTGGTCGTGGCGTCGGTGTGCACCACGGACGGGGGCTGCGCGGGCGACAGCGACAGCCTACACCTCCTGGTCGTGGCGTCGGTGTGCACCACGGACGGGGGCTGCGCGGGCGACAGCGACGTGGCCTACTGGTACTCCCCGGTCTTCACCCTGGCAGGTATTTAGGCATCCGCGGTGCTTGTTCCGGCAAGAGGGAAGCCGCACAATATTGGTGGAGGCGGGGAATCGAGTCCGATTCTCTCCTGCTGGCCAATTCTGACCGTCGTGTTTCGCACTGCTCGTTTGGGTCTCGGACTGCACACCAATGCAGTGGCCAGTTTTGGGCGTGTTCGACGTCAGCAGCGTGTGCACCACAAGAATGCTGTTGTGGCCGTGGACGGAAATCGAGTCCTATATCGTGGCACCTTGGCCTCTTGGTCTGAGAGCTCGCCGGCAGACACTCGATGAGGCTCGATTGTTCGGCGGCTCTTTCTCTACGCTCTCAGATGATGACATTTTGTCATTCGTGTTGATGTATGCTGTTTCGCTGTTTACGGTTGTTCGTATTACATTTCGCCTAGGAATGGAAGGTGACCCAATCCAGGGGTCCCGTATAAGGGTCCCCTTCCTTCCCACCATTCCTTCTGCGGTGCCCCCCTTCGTTGTCTAGTGCGACAGCATTCGGTCTTTTTGAGCACGGATACTTTTGGACTTCGCACCTCATTCGGTAGAATTGACACATGACATGCGCAAGATGACCTGCACCCCCGACATGTCAACGGACGAGTATTGGTGTAGGTAATAGAAAGCCTACTAGTAGTACACACGAGAAGCATGAAGCGGACCAAAATGGAACGAAACAAACAGAACAACCCCCCTAAAATCCCAGCCCCCCTTTTCAGAACGAGCATCTTATCTGACCCGGTCTTGTTACTCGCGCCGAACCCATTCGTGCATGTGCCACGCACGCGCAGGGTGCTACGTGTTGATCGATTTGTACCAGATCATCTTCGTTACCTGGCGAAAGGTCTTCATTCAGGTACGCAATTTTGGCCCGAAATCGAAAAAAAAAACGAGGCGAAAACCCCGGCAAACAGTGAACAAAACAACGAAGTGAAACCTCGGCCAACAGTTCAAGAAGGATGCCATCGTGCGCCATTTGAGATCACCCCTCCCCGGGGGGGGCGGATGCGAGGTCAATGGTCTAACGACTTCGGCACGCACGACTATGAGTACACCCCACACGGCGGGCCGGATGGGCGGTCGTGAGTAACGAGAACACATCGGGGTGTTGTCACAAGCGGTGGAGCGAAGGACCTTACAACAGGAATGAAACACCCCCGAATATGTGCGTGGTCTCTTTTTGCGTTATTCCGGGCATATATCTCCTGGGTGTTACAAGCCGCCTGCGATCCCTTTGTTGGTGGTCCGTGCGATGCTGTTGTTGCGACAGTGCCATCTGCTGACGGTGATGTCCACCCTCGGTAGGGCGTTTCTCAAGGTCGTGGCGTTTGTGTGGCTCTACACCAACTACCCAAACGACGTCTTCGTCAACTACGCAAGGTGGGTGGGCAGGGGATACGCGG